AGACAAACATTTGAAAACTTATAGAGTAAATATCAGCAAATATTTCACAAAAAGTTTTGGAACATTCAAACCTTATTAGAAACTTATTTGAATTGATGAGAGGTTTGAAAGTCAAAAGGATGCTTGGTTTTTGAGATGGCAAAACCCTTGTAGTTGCAATGTGCGTACATCTTTGACATTCTGGTCATAAACATTTCATGTATAGAACTTCTGGCTCATCACTATGTCATCACAACTAGATGATGTTCTACTGGAAAGTAAAAAGGTGTTGCGAAAATCTCAGCTCATAAAAGAATAAGCATAATGAATATAACTGGGCACATTTTCAGATAATGTTATGTTGCAGGTGCAATGGCCCACTGTATCTGTCTCTTAAAACGTGGGATTTTTCCGAAAGTCCACAACAGATAAGTTCTTAAAAAAAAGGCATACTTTAAAAGCTAGGAAGGGGCACAGTCACCAAATGCATTCTCTCTTCTGACATCTTTATATACTGAATTCAAATTTTGCTTAGAAGATGATCACGAAACGATGTAAATCTACAATGTTGACTGAAGTAGCACCCAATCACGCTGCAATGGCCCTGGTAAGCGTAAAAGACATAACTTTTAATTCGTGTGCGTTTATTCTTTCAGAAAAAGTATCTGCACGACCTGTCTACATATTTAAACAAAATACTAATTAATGTTCTCATTGCTGTGCAAACAGATGCAGCTGTGTCAAGTCACAAACACCATGCACAGTTTTCTTCGGTTGTACAAATGATGCAAATGTTTATTGCAAAAATGAATGGAACACTTTCACCAATGGAATGGATAGTGATAACGAGGTCAACAACGGCGAAGAATTGTAAGGGGAAAGAAATGGAGTGGATTTCTAGTTGCATGTTTCTACAGCTCATATTCCTTCAAATGATTTGTAGTTTAATTTGATAATATTTAGTTTTGATTTTTAACCTACACATGCTTAGAATTGCTTTTGAAAACCATTTCGTCAATATTGTGGCTTATCTTATTCATTTACTTTTGCTAGGCATGAAATGGTACACACAAATTATGTAAGATGTGAGTACATTCATATATATAGTTAATCTTTCAAAAATTGATCATTTTTGGCAGTGGCTTCAAGTGAAATTTGCCTGAAATTTAAAGCCTTTCTGTAAACTCGTAGCTAGCAAATTATTTCTGTATAAGAAAATAAATTTTCATTTTTGTCAAGCATGATCTTCGTATTTTAGATTCTCATTCTACAAGATTCTTTCAGCTCAAATTTCTGTTGATTGGCAGGTAGTATTTGGATGTTCTTCCTTTGTAAATCCTGGAGATTTCATTTCCTCTGTTTAGCTATTCCAAGTTTGTTGTTCGAGAGACCTGAGACTGTTTGAACCGAAAGTTGGGTACGTAATTCTTCAAGTCATGAGGATGATATAAGAGCTGATAAGTGTTTCTTATTTCGAAAACACTTTGCTAGAATTCAGGATTCAATCTTTTAAACAGTTTTCAGCATTTCAGTACAGAGATACCTTACGTCCGCCCCACACAGTGAGGAAATTGCTGAGCAAAATGTCATTGGGCCTTCTTGCTCAGCTAAATTCTCGCCGACCGCGGATCATTTTCGCGGATCAAGTAGTCATAAATAGCAATGGGGCAATCGCAATTCTTAGTGCAGGTCTGCATCATTTCCACTCGAGATACGATGCTAACATAGGATAAGAAGTGAGTGAGAATCATGCCATTGTGGGAATATAATTTAATTGTTTCCTCACCAACTGACTTACAAGTGGGGAGGGAGGATTTGGGTGTAGCAAAGGACATTTACTAGCAACCTGTGATCAATGTATGAATTTTCCAGATTGAGCCTGCTGTATACTTAAGTATCGTTGTTGTTTCTCTATCGCAAAACTGCAAAGCGACGATAATAAGGAACCTCTCAGTCCTGGTACATTGATTGGCTAAGCATCCAGTTTTATTGTTTTGTTTAACAGACAGGTGTATCGGAGGAGCAGCCAGGATGAGAAAGTGAGCAAGATTTTTCACAAGTGGCAGGAATTATCAAACATGTTAGATATTTTCCTCAGAAACACAAATGAGTAATTCCTTCACAAAAGTGATTTGTAACAGAACAATTCACTGGCACGTTGCCGACTGGCATGCACTGTAAATTTGCAATTATGGTCATTGTGAAGAAAACATAGGGCTCTTTCCTTCATTTTATCGATTTTATCCATAGATCTGCCTGAAAAGAAATACAATATAATTCAAGGCACTCGATTAAAACTAGTTGTATTAACTGCGTTTTCACTGGATTCCTGCAGTGTCGTGAGCAGACCAGATATTTAAGTAATCCAGCTTGAAATAAATCATGTATCACATCACAGTCTGCGATAAAGACTTTTTTAATCATTTGCAAGTTCTTTCAATATCAGCAGAAGAAGAATACTGCAAATTATTGAGTTTTATGCTGAGGTATCATTATGTCGTGGAAATTTCCCCTTTTTCCGTGGAGCCTGTGGTGTTTCTTGGAATGCTGGCATTTTTCCTGAATATGGTTGCAATGCCACAGATGATATTAGATAATGTGTGCTTGAAGAAACACAACGAGACAAAATGTGCAGCAATGTATACGGGTTCGTTTAAGAAAGAATACGACACAGTCCAAGAAATTTCAACTCTATGGATCGATGCTTTGTTGGTGGAAATGGCATTAGTTACAGCAATGTTTTTGCCATTTATGGCAGCACTATCAGATGAATTTGGAAGACGCAAAATGATGAGTTTGTCTCCATTTAGTCAATTGTTTCAAAGCATTGTGATCGCTCTCATATTGAGTACGGGGTTGGCTTTCCCCACCTGGCTCATGGTTCTGGTTGCTTTGCTCCCGTGCTTGGTAGGCGATTTCGGTGGCCTCTTTGTATTTACATATTCGTACATTGCAGATATTACGTCCGTCTTCGTTTTAAGTTCTTCGTAGTTCTCCTTTCATTGTTAATCCTGCTGCCATAGGCGCAGGCTTAGGGGGAGGGAATTCAGGGCCCTAACTATGAACTGTGCTATTAATCTATAAGTCTGATTTTTTTGGCAAGTACTTTAGTGTTATGTTATTTAATATCTTAAGTTACCGTAAAATTGAGGTCAACTCAAGCAGATTTAGGCCAATCAGCAGAGAAAAGCCGGTATCATCAGAGAAAGGTAATCTGCGATCAGCGCTAATGGCTATGGATAGGTATGTGGTAAAATATGTAATATTCAGCAAGAGAAGAGAGTCAACATGGGAATGTAGGAGTTTCAGAAGGAGACATAAATAAAGTAGATAGCAATAGGAAAGGGCAATATATGCAAAATGTGCCAAATTTGCTTAGAATTGGGCCAGATGTGAAAAATTTGTATCCAGCACTTCATTCCAATTCCATAAGATTAAACCCAAACCAGTTAACGATACGGTAAATTACAAGCCACAAAATTAATCCTTACAGGGAAAACAAAGCTCCGATCTAATATTCTTTGACGATAAAAGCGACAACAAATTTGTATTGTGACAAATAAAAAAAGTCAACGTTGCCACCTCGAGTCACTATTGATGGCAACGTTGAATCCAAGGTTTAACGTCAATAATAGTTGTTCTTTCAAGATCCGTAGCAGCATTGATGCCCTCTTTTTAAGATCTTTACTAAGTTTTGAAAAATCTGGTTTAAGAAATAGTTAAAAACCCACTGTGTTTTTGCAGAATTTTGACAGATAACTTATGAATGAATTTAGCTACAAAATTACAAAAGTTACAGAAAATTTACAAAATTCTTATCCACGAAGACAAAAAAGCTGAACACACAGCTTTAGACCGGAACTTTTTTTTCTAAATGACAAGAAGTTGTGGCACAGCGAGTTTTTGTCTTACCTGAAACCGTGAAATTTCTGCTGACGTTGATGAAAACCCTAAAATCTACGATATTTTCCAAATTCTATGGCAATTTTCAGAAAAAAAATTTCCTTCATAAAGTGTTCGTTTTTTAAATCCTTTCCGTTTACTTACTTTTCGACTTTCCAATGACTCACAGCGTTTATTTTAACTCCTCCTCTTCAGTGGTTTAACGCAGTTTAGGGAACTTTAATTCGATATCTAAAGGCCCCAGATCCAAGGGGCCCCACCATAAGATGTCTTAATATATGATCATAAGAAGTTCACCTTATTACAATAAACTCTAAAATTTATTCACCTGAGGCATATCATTTTGTTCCCCAAGTTAACGAGGAAAATTAGCATTCTTTCATCTTGCCATTCTGGTACAAATGCTAAATACCATTGGATTCGTCCTTCCTGCAGTTCGCGGATTGGTGGCAGCATTTGGGGACTGGGGCACAGGCTAAGATTGGCCCCCGTTTCAGTTTTATTGTAAGGGTGCCTTTGTTACTCTATGGCCCCTCCTCCATTTAATGTTCACACATAAAAGCATTGTAAGTATGTTAGTTGCGTCTCAAGTCAGACAATGAGTACATGATGAAAACGTCGTGTTTCTAACAAGCTTTTATATTTTGGTTTCTTAATAATTTGCTTATTATATTCTCATTACTTACAGAACAGTTTTGTTACTTTGTATTGAATAAAAAGACATGGTATTAGTAATAATACTGAATTCAAGATGCTGCACTGACTGATATTCGCCCGTATTCCTAGCCAGAATTTCGTTGTGCCATTTTGGAGAAGCTATGATTTTATTACATAATTCAAAAACTGACTATCTTTTCAAACTAAGATAGGGACCTTTTGTCCTCTGCGGCATCTGAGAAATCTTTTCTTAAGGGAAGAAAAAAAGGAGTAATAGAGCTAAAGAAATGCGTAAATCAAAAGACATATTCATAACAAGTCTCGTCAAACAGTACCTATTCATAACAGTACCATTTGTTTTGCGACCCACCGGGTAGATTAGGAGTAGTCACGCTTATCGATCGGACAGTACTTAATAAGTGTGGTGAGAATATTCTAAGACAGAATAGAGATCTCTGGCTTCTATGGAGGTTGTACCAACTGCTTCAAAATGTTGGCGATAATTTCTTCAGTAACTGTTGAACCACTGATGTTTTTGAGCATGCAGGCATTTTTCTTGCATGTTGTTACCTTCCCTCAGATGGTTCTGGAAAACGTGTGTTTGATGAAACACAACCAAACTAAATGTCAAGCCATGTACACGGGCTCTTCGAAAGATGAATACAACAAAGTTCAAGAAGAAGCAACTCTTTGGTTCGGTGCTATAGCAATGGCTATGTCATTTGTGACAGTTATTTCCTTACCTTTTGTGGCACAACTTTCGGATGAATTTGGAAGACACAAAATCATGAGTTTGACCCCTCTGAGTCAGTTTGCTCAAAGTGCTATAATCGTTTGCATATTGAGTACAGGGCTGAATTTCTATACCTGGCTGATGGTTCTGGTAGCGTTGTTACCTGCATTTATAGGCGAAATAAGTGGTCTCTATTTGTTTACATCTTCATACATTGCAGATATTACGACAGAGAAGACAAGAACTTTGAGACTAAATCTTCTGGAATCTGCTTCGATATTATCTGGTTTCGTAGCAGCGATGTCGAGTGGACACATTTTAGATCACTTTGGATATAAAGGTATCTACATTGCCACTGCAGGATTGGCTATCATTGCTATTTTGTATTTGGTTGTTTTTGTAAAACCGATTGATAGGTCAATGTTAGAATTGACGGAAAAGGCAGATCCATATGCACATATGAGGGAGGGACAGAACGAGAAAAATGATCCAAAAACTGCATCCGAAGACTTTAATGGTATCAAACAGAGGAATGAAGCCCAAGAGGTTAACGAAAGGGAGGCATTGATAGAAAAAAGTGATGTAAATGAAAACATTATTGATGTAAACAAAAGTTCTACTAATGAGACAAACATTGCCACTATCGAAGAAAACGGGAAGGACGGTGCCTTACTAGTGAATGAACCAAGTGACAGAAATTCAGAAGAAGAGCGAAACGAAAGAAGAAAGTCTGCATCAAGCAAGCTTTGTGTTTTACTAAGGAAATCAAATCCTTTGAGCAACTTCAAAAGATTTTACAAGGTTCTTAAATCTCATGGCCAGTTGAGATATGGACTGGCGCTATTCCTTGTTTTGGTACTTACGACAGTGACATATTCAGCTGAAATGGTTGTTACTGTTCTTTTCTTGAGAAACGGCCCCTTCTACATGGATCCAGTTCAGATAGGATATTTTCTTGCTTTTAAAAGTGCAGGAATCTCTGTCATTGGTCTTGTGATTGTAAACCTCTTGTTTACACGTGTGCTTAAACTCAATGACAACACAATTTTATTGCTGACCGTGTCAACATACGCGATTTATTGTGTTCTACTTGGATTAGCAAGTTCAACTTTGATGCTGTATTTAATTCAAATCCTTCTTGCGGTATCTACACTGACGGTACCAACAATTCGAGCCATTATCTCTAAACTAACCACTCCTTCTGAAGTGAGCCTGCTTTTTTCAGTATCACTTATTGTTGAGACATTTTCAGTTTTGATTGGCTCGATGATTGGCCCACTAGTTTACTTTTCCGTTGTCTCTTCGCACCCTGGTTCAGTGTTTTTTGTCATCGGAGGTTTCATGATTGTCAGTACATGTCTTGCATTGGGAATGTTCTTAGCAAAATGCTTGAAAAGAGAAGAGAGCTCTGAAGTTGTGGTGGCCAATGATGAAACATAACTCTTTAGAAACTGTTTAGCGCCTAAAAAATAATTTCTTAATGTTTAAAAGCGTTTCTTACCTGGTGTTGTAGTTTTCACACATTAATAAGACACACATTAAAAACAGCAGTTTAAACTCGTTGAAGTGTATATCCTGTATAAATATTCGTCTTATTATATATTATTATAATGGTTAAATCTGATAAGTAAAGTTTTAAAGTTTTTCAATAGGAATGAAAACATCAAATAAACAGCAAAAAAGACAGTTCCTAATCTATATACATCTTGCAACATGCAGCAGGGTTGAAGGAGTATAAAACAGATTGGATGGTCTACAATACTTGGGAGGCTTAATTTGCGTGAAGTCAGGAGCAAGACAATTTGCTTTATGGCTTTTGTTACATTATTGGGATTATAAGGGGGCTAACCCCCCCCCAAATGATATAGTTTCCCGCCATTGAGAGTTTAACTATGCAAATGCAGCTTTTCTTGGTACCTTGGTTCTTAGAAAATCTAATTACCTTCAGTTTCACCCTATTATACTCATTATTTTGTAGTGTACCCTGATAAGTGCTACGTCTATTTCCAATAATTCAATGCTGACATTCCTCGATTTTCACTCCTTTAAAATTCATCTATCAACCCCAATTTTCTTACAAGTCACTAATGGCTAATAAGTATGCCAACAATAAACTACAATTCTACGAGATTCAGCAGCAATGTTGCAGTTCTAGGCAAGACATAAATGCTTTATGCTACAGCTACTTTTTACCTTGATGTCAAACTCGATGCTGATTAAAGCTATGTGTTCTGCAATTTGTCTTTGTGAATAACAACTTTATGGCTTTTTTCATTTAATATGTCTCTGCTGTATATCAAATCTAGTTTTTGACTGTAATGATATCCTTAGTTATTTTACAAAACTTTGCAAAAACTCAGTGAGTCTTCAACTTTTTCTTGCTACCAGATTTTTCAAAATTTACTAAAAGATTTAAGGAATAAGGGAGCTATGATGCTTTGGATCTTTAAAGAACAGTAATTGTTGACATTAGACCTGGGCTGCAACTTTGCCTTCCATAGTGACACAAAATAGCAACGTTGACTTATTTGAGAGGTTACTTTACAAATTAGTTGTCGCTTTAATCGCTAGTGAATAGTAGATTAGAGCTTTGTTTTCTCTGTAAGGATTAATGCTATGAGTTGAATTTTCGTATCTTTAACTGGTTTGGGTTTAATCTTATGGAATTGGAATGACAAGTACTGGATGCAATCATTTCTATTTGTGCTTCAAGTTTATGCACTACTTTAAGGGTGGCGCTAGTAATAGAAAGGGGGCTAAGTCACAGTATAAAGAGTGGCTACGTGCTCACAAAGAAGAGACATCTTAAACATTAGAAAGACCTAACCGCAAACAAATTCAATAAAAAATGCAAAATGAATGACCCACAAATTGTAATGCTAAATAAGTAATTAGGTTTCGATTTGGTTAAGTTAGGTCGAAGGGAGTAGTCGTTATTGTAGAAGTTGTATTGGTCCTCCCACCTCTCCTCGTGAGGTTTTCTCCTAGATACAACCTTGGTGCATGTCATGTTCAAATAGTACGAGATTGCTTAAAATATATAATATTCACTTTAACGTTTAAGACAACCAAAGAGGCTTTTAGTGGCTGATGAGTTATTGGATTCGAAAACTGTTATTGAGGTTGCATTCGCTCTATCATTGTTAGGCTGCTCCAAAGTTCGCTCCTTGAAATGAGAAAAAATGAGCAAAGACTTGCATCAAAATACGTTGGATTGATGCTTATCGACATAATAAGTTTTCAGTACTGTACTCTCTTGACTAAGATTTCCTGGAAAAACAGTAAAATACTTACTTTTTTATATTAATCGTGCCTCGCATACATCATATCTCAAAAAGACACTAATTTCTTATACGAGCTAATATCTCTCATCCATTTTGACTGCACAAATGTACCTAGACATTTCTTCCAAAATCATTCTTTGTAAGATGCATCGTGGCAACATTGAGATGAATCTCTCAGCTGTCAATATGCCTGGAGAGAATTTGGGGGGGGGGGGGGGTTGTGATGACTGATGACTAAACTGCACATATTGAAAAACTTCTGAATCACTGCTGCAAGAATTGTAACCTGTAGCAGTGGTTATTTTCATTTACGTGCCTTGACAAAATATTTCAACTGGCCTACTGTAGCTGATAAAATAGAAGTTTAGCGCACAGCGACGCAAAAGGGCTAGCTGGTCTGACTGGGCTTGCCTCTCAGTGACTTGTTTTCTGTTTTCTGAGATATTCTGTTCACCGCTTCAATTTCTTTGTCCTTTTCATCTAATCGATATTCTGTATCGGAGGGTCGCGGCGCACTTTTGTTCTTTGAGCAGCGGTGCACTTTTGACGATGGTTATAAAATAAATAGATAAATAAATAGTGAATTTGGAATTGTGAGAACACATGAATACTAATTACAATTTTTAAAATAAATCTTTAGAACCTCCTAACATGCTGAAGGGCAAAGCATCATTGAAGTGGCACAGGGAGTTATTGGGAAGGGAAAAGAATTATTTCTCTCCTTTCCATTCTCCTCCCGATTTCTTGGGCTCGGAGTACAGAATAACAGAATTCGGACGCAAATAGCATTTATTGAAATAGCTGCACTTGTACCTTGTTTGTGCTTTAATTGAAGGATAATAAAAAACGGTGGGAATTTAGATGCGAGTTTATTAAGATACAGAAAGAGGGAGACATAAAGTTAAATGTCTTTCGATATTGTTTAGACTGTGGTATCATTCGTGTATTCCAAGCATAGACAACTTGATTCACAAAGTGATACTTTACTTGGCTATCTTGATCACGTAGCTGATTTTACAGTTATTACGCTAGATTATTTAACAATCAATTGGTTTATGTTTACAAAGATCTTCGAAAATTAAACATCATTGCAAAAACAATCAGTTGATTGACGTTTTGATTTGACTGAAGTCTATCCGTATGTAGTCAGGAAAATTATTGGTCCAGCCAGCCTAACTTTGGTAACAGCGATAGACCAGCTGGGAGTACTTTGTTGTCCAGACTACCTTATTTGCTTGAGCTTCCATTGGCAAGATAATAAGAAGATAATCACAAGGGATTGGCGTGCATATCCTATACTACAGCCGTCAACAAGGGTTATGACACACTTTTAGGCAGGGAAATAGCTGTAACCATCTAGCAAACTGCCTAATCACAAATTTTTCACTTGATCTGAATTCAGTATGAAAAGGAGGATCGAAAACCACCAGGGGCCATTTTGGGCGTGGCCCCTAAGTCACGTGACTGATGACGTCATCTTTTCCTTGTCTGAGAATAATCAAAACTCAAATTTTTCATGGTATCACTCGAAAGGGAATTAAAAAACAGAGAAGAAAATTTTAAAAGAACTTTGCCATTTGACCTTTGCCGCCGAAGGGCAAAATTTGTTATAATCTTAATACTTCAAGTTTGCCGGTGTAGTCTGCTAATCGGTCTCCCATCCAGAAATTGCATTCTTTGGAGCAAATTTAAACAATAAAATTTTATTCTCAAAATGAATATCCACTTGTGGAAAGCGATGGTATTGATCGACTTCTTCCTTGTTTTACCTTTTGCGACATAACTGCATAAATTTTCAAATCTTGGACAAACTTTTCAAATCTGGTGGAAGGCACAAAATTGACACTGTCCCGGTCTTCAATATCAAATAAAGATATTATTTATGACCAATATTGCAAATTACAATAACAAAATTTGGTCCTTGAATACTCAGACCTTAACTGACAAAATCCGAGCAGCAAAAACTCTATGGTAGAAATAGTTAAATCCTGAGAAATCATTTTGTTTCTGTTGAAATCTAGCATTAAAATCTTTTTTCTAAAGTGAATTGCCACGAAACAAAGGGAAAGTATTCTAATCCAAGTTATTTATGTTGCTAAAAGGTTCGTTTCACTCCTCCATTTTACCTCACCTCAAAAAAGGTGGCCCTTTCACCTCAAAAAAAGTTCTTTCATGAGAACTTATATGCTAGCTGTAAGCTACTTGCTACTTGTTGCTAGCTGTGGCTACTTGTTTCAGCTTTCAGTCGACTCACAGATCTTATATCTACAACAAATATTACTTGTGATGGTCGCTTTATCATGAAAATAAGAGATAAGACGATTAAAGGCATGATTTGTTAGCATTTTGCAATACCACAATCGTGGCAAATGGCAAATTTATTTCAATGCCGTGTCATCAGATAGTCTGGGACAGATTTTTATAACCGCACCTGATTGCATTACATAAATGAATAGGTATTGAAAATTATCTACCATACAAGTACAAAAGAGTGTTCTTTGAGACAAGTTATATAAAATGGCACTCCCTTAACATGATGCAATATCTGAAAATGCCACCATTTTCTGCAGCGATGCAATCCAGCCATGGCCATAATGTATCAATGCTACTTTTAAAACTACCGTAAAAGCTCTATTAAGCACCCTTTCTTTTAAGCCCCCATTCTTTTAAGCCTCCATCTCTTTTAAGCCCCCCTTGTCAAGCAAAAACTTATAATAAGCCCCCCTTCTCTATAAAGCCCCCTCTCTATTAAGCCTTTGATTTCAAACAAAGAATACATGCGCATTTAGAGAGTCTCTTGACGGGTGCGATGATATTAAGATCGTGTGCATAAAATACAGCCTATGTAAAGACTTGCTTGTGCCCCTTAGAAGTCAGTAGCAATTTGTTTAGAAGATGTCCCAGATATGAATTGATCCTGGTGACGCTGATGAAGATGAGGAGATTAAAACTGATTAATTTTAAGAAACTTCCGAAGCTGCCAGCAAAGTTTTCTGAGAACATTTTTATAAAGAAAAATGGACAAGGGCATTTTTAAACATTTTTGACTTCAAATTTGTAACAAGCCCCCTTCTCTCAAAGGCCCTCTCTCTTTTAAGCCCCACGTCATGAACTTGAATAAATAAATAAACTCCGTTGGGGTATCCATCACTCTTATAAAAGAGTTTTCTACTTTTATCTAAGGATTTGTACAAGTTAGCGTAAAGGGTCCACTATTTGGGCATTCTTATGATTTTGGCAGAAAACTTTAAATTAGTTTTTTCAACCCTTAAGGCCAACATTTTGAAAACAAGAAGGGCAAGAAGGTTAGATGTTTGGTTGGCCCAACTAGAATTGTGTTATTGCTACAGAAACAGAATAGTAAGCCCTGGGTATCCATCATTCTTTATTCAGTTCTAATACTTTTGCTAGCTTTTGATACTTTGAAATAATTTAGGTAAGATACACAAAAAAACACGAATTACAATCACCTGTTTGTAGAATGTTGACTTTTTCTACTTTTAAAAAAGCTGTTATTATAATAATAATTACAATAGTGATTATAATATGATTATTATTATAATAACAGCCACGGGGGGGGGGGGAATAGGGGGGACTAGTCCCCCCACTTTTTAAGAAAGTTGGTTCTTGAGATTCTTGCAAACCTGATGAGAAAACTTCAAGGGGGGGGGGTATGTACGTTATCTATTCGTCACATGTAAATGACATTTCTTGGAAGACAACAGGTGTTTCCTCCGGAAGAAAATGTTTCAAACAAGGGAAAAGGCCGTGGTCCAAAAGGGCGCTGTCCCTGACACACCTTTTGTTCCCCCCACTTATCCCACGCTGGAGCCGCCACTGATAACAGCTAATATTTAAGTTATTATCTTTATCTACAGTTGGTTTGAGCTTTAGTTAATATACATAGATAATTATGGAAAACTAATTAATACCAGCCATTTATATACAAAAGATAATAAAAGTACGATATTAATCTACCTATTTGCATAATTCACAGCCACATTTGTCTCCATTCCAGGCGTGTACACTTTTGTAAGATTTGGATACGTTTTTCACATTCTTCATCGTATCAGTCGTAATGGGGATAGTGCGATGATCATTCCATCAAATTGCTTCTAAAAACGGGATACGAAATAGAATTTTTTAAATAATATTTAACAGTAATGCTTAAAGAAGCGCAGTACATTTCCCATGACTTGTCAAGAACTTTCTCCGTTCGAGATCGACTGATGAAACATAGGCGGCGCGTGGTGGAGAG